CAGGGTCGTGGGGACAGACACTGGCCTGGGACCATAAAACAGACAGGGTAGGAACCTGCTTCATACATGGCCCACAAGGCAAAATGAAATTTGGCCCAAACCAACTCTGGCCAGCATGAAGTGGGAAGGAAGGCCTTGTTTTTGGACAGGCCCTTAGGGTTTAATCGTCCTGTGGAGCATTTTCCTCCAAAACCTCCTGACCTGACATGCCGTGAATGGCCAGCCTCATCAGTCTTGAAACGTTACTTCCACATTCTTCACCCCTCTTGCATTAAGAGGAATTTGGGCTCTGCGTCTGCTTGTTCAGGAGACTGTGGCAGAAACGATGTGGTGCCAGTTTCAGACCTAAACCTTGAGAAACCAGCCCCTTTCACTTCCTGTTTCTCGGTACAATCACTCTTGGAACCTGGCCACCCTGCTGTTAGGAAGCTCAGGCTACTCCATGGAGAGGAACTGATGGCCAGGACCAACTCTCTGACTGTGTGAGTGAGCCCCAGTTGATCAGCCCCCACGGACACCATGTGGGGAGCAGAAATGGACTAGCCCCACCTACCCCTTGCACATGTTGCAGATCCATGAACAAATAAATAAATGGTTGATTCTGTTTCATGCCGCTAAGTTTTGGGGGGGCGGCCTGTCATGCGCCAATAGATAACAGAACATCTTCCCAACCTGGAAGGCATTTCCTGGTCTTGCAGGTTCCCCAAATCCAGATACAGGACTTCAATAACAACAGAGAGGTCTGGTTATTTGAAGAAGGGCAAATAAATGAGGCCAGAAAACTTCATCTGCTGACTTTCCCCATCTTGCTCCAGTCTCATCAACTAGAATAGCTAAGAATAGGCTTGGATTCTTTCCTATGTGAGATAAAATCTTCTGTTAACCAAACACATCTTTAGATCGATCCCCCATGGTCAGGGTTGAAGGTGGCAAAGGTGGAGAATGCTTTCCCCTTAATTCAGGAGTTTAGATATTTTTCATGAACATGGAATTATCTGGTAGCTATAACAGTCCTATTTGGAATACCAAAGGAAATAAGGCCATGGTCTTGGAAAGCATCAGAAACCTCTCTTCTGCTCTTCTTTTTTGTTGATTGTGTGGTGCCTCCATGGAGACAGAATTGAGAAGAGATGGGGAAGTTCAGCCTCTAGAGTCTTTGTGAATACCTTTTCTGGGGGCTTGGACTGGCTCCATGGAAATTGGTTTGCCTGCTTTTCATGGAGGTGGGTTTGTCAAGTGATTTTAAAAGTCTCTAAAAGTGCATCTGCCAAACTGTTTCTCTATCCTATTTTAAGTTAGCTAGAATTCCCAAAAAGGCCATGATGACAGGATAAGGCCCAGGGAGCACCAGTCCAGGGATCTGAGCAATAATAGCTAATGCCTGCTCCAGAAGTGACAGTGCCCGAAAAGCTTTCATCAGAATTATCTTGGAAAAATCTTTCAGGAATCCAGTGAAGGTACCTAGATACAAATCATTGTCTATCTGAACAGCGGAATACTGCTCAACAATAAAAAGGAATGAAGTACCGATTCATGCTACACCATGGCTGAACCTCTAAAGCATTATGCTAAGTGAAAGAAGCAAGATACAAAGGGCCACATATTGTATGATCCCATTTCTATGAAATGTCCAGAAGAGGTGAGTCCATAGAAACAGAAACTAGTGGCTGCCTGGGCCTGGGTGTGGGAAAGAGGAGTGAATGCAAAGAGGTAAGAGGTTTCTTTTGGAAAAGTTCTGAAACTGGATTGCGGGGATGCCTGCACAATTCTGTACATTTACTAAAAATCATGGAATTGCTCACTTATGAATGAATTTTATGGTATGGAAGTTATTCCCTAACAAGGCCATTTAAAAAGGGAATTCAGATAAATCAGAGGGAGGAGATGGGGGTGGGGTGTGGGGAGTCATAGAAGCATTGTAGAGCACAGGAGACGAGTGGGTATGTACTGACCGTAAGGGATGGAAGCTGGGACTTTCTTAGTCACCTAACGGGAAATCACAGAGCACAAGGTCTGACTTCCTACCAGTCAAAATGAGATTATATATGGTTAGGATGAAAGCTGAGATAATAATGGTAACTGCTGACACTTATTGGGCGCTTATGTATGCGGGCACTGTACAAAGCATTTTACATGTATGAAGTCATTTGCTCCCAACAGCCCTATGAAGATGGGTTGGGAGAGAATTCTCCATGGGCATCTCCAGGTCTGCATGTCTTCTGAGCAAGAGACAGTGAGAGCTTTGTTCTGGACTATCTTCTCAAGGATGTCTGTACAGTAAACAACCTCAGAAGGTAGAAAAAGTATCTCCTTCTGGGCAGAGGGCAGAGTATTTCCCAACCAGTGTAATAAAGATAATGTCTTGCTCCAGAGCAAGGACTAGGTCACTATGCCAGTAGCCCCCTTATAAGATTGGGGGATTCCTAAGCTTGGGGAGCCTCAGTTCTGGCAAGTTGAGGTGGTGCAGCATCCCTCTGAGTCACTTTGCGGTGCCCTCATGGAACTGGGGGCCAAGAAAGCTTCCGGGAATGTGAAGCTCATGCAGCTGCTGGCCGTGAGTGCTCAAGTCCTTTGCCTCTGACCCGGGGGTTTCCTGTCTTCTACCAGCATCCATGAAATGCAGCAGGCTCACTCATTAGCTTGCTAGCAAAGGAAAAATCTCAGACCCTCTATAATTCTGACAGCCAGCACTCACATCACCCCTGTTTTACAGATGAGGACTCTGGGGCACAGAGAACTGAAGTTTCTTGTTCAAGGTCACACAGCTAGCAAGTGACGGAGCTTGGATCAAAACCCAGGCAGACTGGAAAAGGCAGAAGATCCAATTAGGGGGTTGGCAAAGGTAACAGATGGGAGTGACAGGAGCTGAAGGCTTCAGAGAATGCATGGAAGGTCGTGCCACTCAGCTCCCAACCCTACTCACCCCCAGATGCTGCCTATCCCCATATCCGGCTGCTGGGGCTAAGCAGCCAATTTGGGATGGCTGCGATATATTTAACGGTGAGTCACACTCTCCCCCAGCAATCAGCAGTGGCAGGCTTGGGAGGATGCAGGGAGCATCTCTGGGAATCCATGCCCAAGGGTAGCCATGGCAACCCCACCCAACTCCCTTGCCAGCAGCTGGGATGCCAGTGCCTGAATCAAGGCAGAAAATAGCCTCATAGCCTGAGTGTGGCCAAGGACGGGAGCAGGCCGGCCACATGCCATCACCAGTGGGTTCACAGGGGTTGTTGTGAGGGTTCTGAGGACTTGGCAATAAGGAAGTCTCACGGGTGCACTGGTGAGCTCAAAGTCCCCTCATGGGGGCCTGGTGTCTCTGGCTTGCTGGGATGAGGCTTGACCTAGTGGGCATTTTGGTGAGCGCCATCTCTTTCTGCCTTGGTTCCTCTCAGTTTGTCTGTCCCCTCCCTCATGAAGGCCCTTTCCATCTGAGGCTTCTAACCAAGTACCGTTACAACAGCTAGACTGTTGGCAGCTCGGAGATGTTACCACAGACGCATCCTCCAGGATAATTCAGAAGACCTCAGAACCTAGGACCGATCAGCCACACCCACACATCCACCACAAATATGAATATTCCAGGGAAAGCAGTTTGGAATCCATCCATTCATCCGTCCATCCGTCCATCCATCCATCTCTCCACCCATCCATTCATTCATTCATCAATTTGTCCTCTCAGTTGTTCGTCCTGAATTCCATGCCAGGTCCTACAGACCCTGTGTAGATCCGGACTTGGTTTTCTCTCTATCCTCATCCCCTTCAGCTCTCCCCCTCTCTTTACTCTAGCCTTTTAACCTTGTTGCTGTTCCTTGATCATACCAAGCACTTTCCTGCCCCAGGACCTTTGCACTGTTTTATCTGCCTGAGAAGTTCTTCCCCCAGATAGCTACCACCTGACTCCCTAATTCCCTTGAGATCTCTGCACAAATCTCATCTCCTCAGAGAGATGCTATTAAGACCACCTAGGAGAAAGCACCCAATTTCAGCTTTTCTGGATAAGGCCAAATACATGTAACAAATATGTTATATATAATGTGTATATAATGTATATAACACAGAGACGTAGTTTCTTCTGTTTGTAACAAGGAGAGGGAAATTGAAAATTGGTGGCCTGTAAATTAAATCTGGCCCATAGATACGTTTGCTTGATCTATACAGCATTTCAAAACAATTGAATTAGTTGCTAACATATATAAAATTTGGGAAAGTTCATTTTAAAATCCCAACTTTTAACTTCTCTTGAAAAACCTGAAGATCAAGCTATAAATTCCTGCATATGTAACAGTCAGTGGCTGGGGCTGAGTAGTGGTCACCCCCTTAGACAGTATTCTGGTCTGCTGGAGGCTCTGCTGGGCCCTCTTCATTCATTCATGTGGCCATACACAGCCCCCAGGAGCCTTTGTGCTGCAACCCAGGCCTGCAATCTGAGTCTCTAAGGGTCTTAGGTTTTGGACGGAGGGTATGGAGCACAGCAATTTTTTTGCTTCAATTAGTCAGAATTTAGTTTCTGAACTAATCCAGGCATTCTAGGTGAAGGTACTGGGTAAGCAAAGACCTAGAGGCATGAACACATAGGGCAAGTTCTAGGACTGCTGATAAATACTCTGGAGTGGGAAGAGGTCAGCAAAGTCATTTGGGGCCAGAGTCTGGAGGGCCTTGAATGCCTTGCTAAGTCACATCAACTGATCCTACTGGGCAGCTGCAGAAGATTTTGGAGCAAAGAAAGGGACATGATCAAGTTAGCAGTGGTGTGGGGAAGTGAGAGTGAGAATCACCCTTGATAACAGGGTTCTTTTCAGACCAAACCCCAGGCAGGAGCACACACAGGGGTGAGAGGGCTGATGTCTCCCACCAGCACCCTCAGCACCCAGCTTCCTCCTCTGGCTGTCTTATAATAACAGTGTTTCCAGTACAGACATTCTGGGTCTCCTGCCATGGATCACTCAGCCACCCATGCAGAGAGAAAACAAAAAGCCGTGTTTTTCTGTGTCTATTTTCAGCTGCTGCCTACATCTTTGTTCTCTGTGAGGAATATACACCCCCAGGGGCCCCTTTCTCAACCGTGGCCGAGCAGCCAGGTCTGGGCCACCAGGCCGGGTTCCGTTATGGGAAGGAACTAGCAGATCTAATGGAATCATGCCGACTGGGCCAGGAGCAGCATGGAAGTGTTGGTGTTCTTAAGTCCCAGAGATGCTGAGGTAAGGAGCTGATCCCAGTCAATACGCCCATCCTAGACAGACCATCTGTGACTGTTCTGAGCAGCTAGGAAAAGCCCACTCTCATTGTCCCCATGAAGGTGCTGCCTGGAATTTGGGAGTCTGTACTGTATGGTATATTTGTGCCCATTTAGTGATGAGCTGAGAGGAGAAGTAGGGACCTGGATGGATCCAGCTCACCCATTGTACAGGTGGTAAAACTGAGGCCTGAAAAAGAAGCACAGTTTGCTCAAGGTTGTAGAGCAGCTGGCCACAACCTGTGCTTGAAAAGACCAGAACGTAAAATTCAGAGGGCATATACTTTGTCTGCCTTGGTCACAACTCCATCCCTACCGCACAACATAGTACCTGGCAAATAATAAATGCTTGATAAATATATTTTGGATGAATGAATAACATCTCTAGCTGTTTTTAGCTTTTACAAATAATTTTTGCACACAGTCCCTCATTTTGACTCATGATTATCTTTCAAGCTACAAATGGCATTTTCCTCATTTTGCAAATGAGGCAATAGAAATTCAGAGAGGTTTAGTCACCCACATGAGATCACACAGCCTGGAAGTGGTGGATGCAGGATTTGAATCCACAGCATCTTACTGTGGGCTGGGCATCCCTTAGAATTTTAGGGTAGGGGAAGAGACTTTGGAAATGCCCAGCTATGAGGCCAAAGCCTTGATTTCCAAGGACATCTCTGACCTGAATTATACTACACAATCTTGGGGGAAGAGGGAGACCAAGAGAGCAGTTTCTAAAAATGTTAAACAGAGTTGTCATACAATGCAGCAGTTCCACTGCTAGGTGTACACCCAAGAGACTTCAAAACCTATATCCACACAAAAACTTGTACATGGAAGTTTATAGCAACATTATTCATAATAACCAAAAAGTGGAAACAATTCAAATGCCCATCAACTGATGAGGTATAAACAGAATGTGGTATATATCCATACAATGGAATATCATTCATCCACAAAAAGGAATGAAGTAGTGAGACATGGATGAACCTTGAAAACATGTGCTAAGCAAAAGAAGCCAGACACAAAAGGCCACACAGTGTGTGATTCCATTTATATGAAATGTCCAGAAGGGGAAAATCTATAGAGACAGAAAGTAGATAAGTGATTGTCAGGAGCTGAGGGAAAGTGGGAATGAAGAGTGATTATTAATGGCTTCTTTTTGGGGTGATGAAAATGTCCTAAAATTAGATGGTGGTAATGGCTGCATAACTGTGAACATGCTAAAAACTACTGAATTTTACATTTTAAATGGGTGATTTTATGCCATGTGAGTTAGATACCAACCAAACCATTTTTTAAAAAGACCAAGAGAAGCATTTCCATGACAGTGGAAGTTCAGAAGGGGAAATACACAAATGAGAAAATGTTCCCAGCATGGGTAGCCCCCAAGCTATCTGCGTGGATGTCTCTGGAAGGATTTCAAGACAGGATTTCAACTCAGAGCCCCAAGGATTCATATGAGGGGCTTGTCCTAGAAAGTTGAAAATCTAAGGACACCACCTCCAGGCAGCCCTCCCAGATATCCCGACCACGGAGGAGAAGAGGAACCCAGCATGATAACTGCACACCACTGGGTGTCCAGTTGCTCTGCTTGTGATATCTCACTGAAGCCATGAAACAGCCTCGCTGAGGGCATGAGAGCATCATCATGCCCATTATCCAGGCAAAGAAATGAAGGCTCAGAGAGGAGAAATTCCTGGCCCAAGGTCACACAGCCAGTGTATGGTGCTCTCAGCTATATCATAGTACATGGAACTTGTCCAATTTGGGACTTGGGGCTACTTGCTGGGGTACCCCTGTCAAGTTCCTTGCTCTCGTGGGTCTTGGTTTCCCCATCTGTACCATGAAATCCCCACTCACCCCTTCACTGTCTTGGTGGGGTCTTCAGCCAGAGCATTCCTATTTGCCTCTGATATGATGATTCTCTACATTTAATCAGATTTCATTTGAATATAGCTACACATCTTTTCTCAGGGCTCCATACACCCAGGGATCTGAGGTTAGATCTGTGCTGTTTTTCTTGACTCCATCCTTCCAATGCCTGGCATCCTGTGTATATACTGTGGACTCCAAAACCACTTCTCAAATAACCCTGATGTTAGGGTTCAAGCAAGAAGACAAAACTGCTGCCTTATGAAGCATTTGCATGATGCAATTTCACAGGCTTTCTTTCCTCAGTGTAAAGGGGTTGCTTTTCAGGGGCCCTCTCTTTACTTCTGAAGCTTTAGGTCAGCTTTGCATTTGCAGGCCTGAGAAGAATTTCCCACCAAAGTATACAGGCAGAGCTGCAAACACATACCTTTCATGTCTCCATCCAACCATCCATCCACCCACAAATTTGTCCATCCATTTTCCCATTTACTTCATTCATTCATTAATTCAACAAATACTTATTAAGTGTCTACTATGTGCCAGATACTGTGTTAGTCACTGGGTACTAAGAAAAGATAAAAATAAGCTTCCTGTCCTCATGGAGTTCACAGTCTTGTGAAAGATAATAGGCCTTAGTAGACCATAAAATATCAACATAAATTGGAAAGAATGCCACCAAAGAAAAGTTCAGAATAGCAAGAGGGCCCTAATATCTACGGGGGGTGGGAGGGACAGAAGAGGGCTCTCTAAGGAACTTCATATGTGAGCTAAAGTCTGAAGTATGATTTATTATCTATCTGTGAGGAATGTTCTTTGCTAAAGAGAATGCTTGGTTCATAAGAAAACAAATCCTTCCATTTGCAACAACATGGATGGAGCTAGAGGGTATTATGCTCAGTGAAATAAGCCAGGCGGAGAAAGACAAGTACCAAATGATTTCCCTCATCTGTGGAGTATAACAACAAAGCAAAAACTGAAGGGACAAAACAGCAGCAGACTCACAGAACCCAAGAATGGACTAACAGTTACCAAAGGGAAAGGGACTGGAGAGGATGGGTGGGAAGGGAAGGATAAGGGGGAAAAGGGGCATTACGATTAGCACACATGATGTACGGGGTTGGGGGTAACACGGGAAAGGCAGTATATACAGAGAAGACAACTAATGATTCTATAGCATCTTACTATGTTGATGGACAGTGACTGTAATGGGGTATGTGGTGGTGACTTAATAGGAGCAAATATAGTAACCATAGTGTTGCTCATGAGAAACCTGAGCATAAGATTGTATATCAGTGATACCTTAATAAAAAAAAAGAGAGAGAATGCTTGGTTAGAAAGTGCTAAAGAGCAAATGAATAAAAGAAGCTCAAACAACTAGGGAATTTATTATCCCACATAACAGAAAATCCTGAGATAGGGTTACCCCATAACTGAAGAACTCAACAATATTGTCAAGGGTCCAAATTCTCTACCATCTCCTTCACCATCTTCAGAGGACTGGCTCCATTCCCAGGATGGCTTACCTCATGGACCCAAGATGGCTGCCATTGCTCCAGCCATCATGTGAAGGTATGACTACATTCAAGAGCAAGAAAAAATAACTTTTCATCCTCCTACCACTTTCTGAGATAGAAAAAAACTTTCCCAGAAACTCTCCAGCAGACTTGACGGGTGGCATCACACACCCACACCTGAACCATCACTGGCAAAAGGAATGGGGCCACCATGATTATCTCAAACCAGCAGTTCTTACTCAGGGATGATTTTTTACCTCCAGGGCACATTTGGAGATATTTTTGGTTATGATAAATGTGTGTGTGTCCTATTGGTATCTATTACGTAGAGCCAGGGATGCTGCTAAACATCCCCTCACAACAGAATGATCAAGATGTCAATAGTGCCAAGTTGAGGAATCCTGCCGTAGACCAATCAGAACCAAATCCTGAGTCATGGGGACACCAGGCAGAAATGGGTGGGAGAATTGGTTAGGGAAGGCTTCCTAGAGACTGAAATAGCTCAGCGGAATCTAGAAAAATGGCCATTGGCTACAGCAATACAGGTAATAAGTCAAGCTGGCCATCGGGCTGTGAGCAGAAATGCAGATGACCCTCTCCATCTTTCCTGCTTTCAGTAGAATGTGAGCCCATGTGGACAGGGACCCTGCTGTCATACCACTTCCTTATCCCCATTCCCAGTTCAGTGCCTGGCACAGTTGTTCAACATGCCATTGTTAAAGAGTGAGTGAGTGGGATGGGGGAGACCCACTCTTGACAGTGGAACCCCCAACTCTGGAAATTCCTGGGCATAGCACAGAGTGAATGCTGTGGACAACAGTCAGAAATGACATAGGAGGGACAGTCAGTTGGCACTAGCAAGACCCCCAAAAATGGTTCAATCCCATCACTGTACAGATGGGGAGATGAAGGCACAGAAAAGGGGAGACTGTAGTTAAAAGTCACTCAGCAAGTTGGGGGAGTTGCAGGCCAGTATACATGGCCCCAGGATCAACATCAACTGTTGGATCCGGAATGATCATTTGGAGACATGTGATTTGGCTGATCAGTTTCTAGTTCTAAATCGTCTATTTTGGGAATTTGGGCATGCCCCACCTCCCATCTCCTTACAAAGCTGTCTTCCTGGATTCACGGACCCTGTGATCCCAAAACGATGCTGGGTGAGACCACCGTTTGGTCAGTGATGCACCTGCCTCAGACTGCAACACGGCCGCCACAGTGGCAGCCCAGTTTTGTTTGGCCCACATAGTTCTTTAAAAAAAATGAATTATTTACCTTCTTTGCCAACAATAAAAATAATTGGGACAGTGTGCCTATAGCCCATATTTCTCACTTCTCCGAGATAATCAGGTTCGGCGACACTGCGCCCATTTCCCTGCATGACAGCCCCGTACTGGAGCTGGGCAGTGGCTAACCCATCAGGGAGGGAGCTGTCCAGTCCACCCCAGCGCTGCCCTGGCATGCCGCTCACCTACAGGAGAGGCTTCTGAGATAGCAGCCCAGCCCCTGCTGAGGGACAAGGGGGCAAGGCCACATGGGGCCCCAGGCACCACACCCCCCCTTCTCTTGGAAGGAAGCG